ATGACTGCATATTGGAATGGCTATTCGGACAGGTATTAGACGGTGACATCATGTGTTTACTCTTGAACACTGCAAAGAATTAAACATTTCTGCTACAACTAATAATAACAATAGTAATAATAATAATAATAATAATAATAATAATAATAATAATAATAATAATAATTAATAATAATAAATATGATATAATTGAAGAAGGAAATTGTAGAAAAATACGAGGGAGTGGTTGACACATCGTCAGTGTGACTTTGTTTATGCTGGAGTGAACATTAGTCTCCCTGCTCTTCCAAAACATTTCACAATAATTCATTGTGTTTGGTGCTTGTAGATTGAGTGTGACTGGAGTGGTAGAGGCAGTGATTGAGGCAATGGTATTTAATAAAAATACATGTTAATAATAATACATGTTATTAATAATATGTACTATTATTATTTATAACATATATGTTATTAAATACATACATGTTAAATAATAATACATGTTATTAATAATAACATGTTACTATTATTATTTATAAATATATGTTATTAAATACCACTGCCTCAACTGCTGAATTATTGTGAAATGTTTGGAAGAGCAGGGAGACTAATGTTCACTCCAGCATAAACAAAGTCACACTGACGATGTGTCAACCACTTCCTCGTATTTTTGTACAATTTCCTTCTTTAATTATATCGTATTTATTATTATTATTATTATTATTATTATTATTATTATTATTATTATTATTATTATTATTATTATTATTATTATTATTATTATTATTATTATTATTATTATTGTTATTAGCAATAGCAGAAATGTTCAATTCTTTGCAGTGTTCAAGAGTAAACACATGATGTCACCGTCTAATACCTGTCCGAATAGCCATTCCAATATGCAGTCATTACCTGGAGTTTACCTGGAGAGAGTCATGAATGGGTTTACATTATTTATTCTGTAGTTTAATAGCAAATAATGAACAAACAAAACACTCACCACACTGAGTGGTGGGAGGGCTGGCTGCCAGTTGCAGGGGTCGGAGGGAGGGTAGTAGGGACTCGCATTGGTGGAGTCTGTGGTATTTAATAACATACATTGATTGAACTTTGTATAGAAAGGGGTTTAGTTATAGGTAATACATATTTTAAGAAAAAGAGGATAAATAAGTATACACGATATGATGTAGGGCGAAATGACAGTAGTTTGTTGGATTATGTATTGGTAGATAAAAGACTGTTGAGTAGACTTCAGGATGTACATGTTTATAGAGGGGCCACAGATATATCAGATCACTTTCTAGTTGTAGCTACACTGAGAGTAAAAGGTAGATGGGATACAAGGAGAATAGAAGCATCAGGGAAGAGAGAGGTGAAGGTTTATAAACTAAAAGAGGAGGCAGTTAGGGTAAGATATAAACAGCTTTTGGAGGATAGATGGGCTAATGAGAGCATAGGCAATGGGGTCGAAGAGGTATGGGGTAGGTTTAAAAATGTATGTTAGAGTGTCAGCAGAAGTTTGTGGTTACAGGAAAGTGGGTCAGGAGGGAAGAGGAGCGTTGGTGGAATGATGATGTAAAAAGAGTAGTAAGGAGAAAAAAGTTAGCATATGAGAAGTTTTTACAAAGTAGAAGTGATTGCAAGGAGGGAAGAGTATATGGAGGGAAAAAGAGAGAAGTTAAGAGAGTGGTGAAGCAATGTAAAAAGAGAGCAAATGAGAGAGTGGGTGAGATGTTATCAACAAATTTTGTTGAAAATAAGAAAAAGTTTTGGAGTGAGATTAACAAGTTAAGAAAGCCTAGAGAACAAATGGATTTGTCAGTTAAAAATAGGAGAGGAGAGTTATTAAATGGAGAGTTAGACGTATTGGAAGATGGAGGGAATATTTTGAGGAATTGTTTAAATGTTGATGAAGATAGGGAAGCTGTGATTTCGTGTATAGGGCAAGGAGGAATAACATCTTGTGGGAGTGAGGAAGAGCCAGTTGTGAGTGTGGGGGAAGTTCGTGAGGCAGTAGGTAAAATGAAAGGGGGTAAGGCAGCCGGATTGATGGGATAAAGATAGAAATGTTAAAAGCAGTGGGGATATAGTTTTGGAGTGTTGGTGCAATTATTTAAAAAATTTAATGGAAGAGGGAAAGGGGTACCGGGGATTGGGCAGAGAGCATGCATAGTTCCTTTGTATAAAGGAAAAGGGGAAAAAGAGAGTGCAAAAAATTATGGGGGGATAAGTCGTGAGTGTACCTGGTAAAGTGTAGGGGTAAGTATAATTGAAAGAATTAAGAGTAAGACGAGAATAAGATAGCAGATGAACAGGAGGCTTTAGGAAAGGTAGGGGGTGTGTGGAACCAGGTGTTTACAGTGAAACAAATAAGTGAACAGTATTTAGATAAGGCTAAAGAGGCTTTGTGGCATTTAGGGATTTGGAAAAGGCGTAACAGGGTGGATAGGGGGCAATGTGGCAGATGTTGCAAAGTGTATGGTGTAGGAGGTAGGTTACGAAAGCAGTGAAGAGTTTTTTACGAGGATAGTGAGGCTCAAGTTAGAGTATGTGGGAAAGAGGGAAATTTTTCCCAGTAAAAGTAGGCCTTAGACAAGGATGTTGATGTCACCGTGGTTGTTTAATATATTTAAGAGGGGGTTTGTAAGAGAAGTAAATGCGAGGGTCTTGGCAAGAGCTGGATTAAAAGATAAAAATCACACAAAAAGTGGGAGTTGTCACAGCTGCTCTTTGCTGATGACACTGTGCTCTTGGGAGATTCTGAAGAGAAGTTGCAGAGATTGGTGGTGAATTTGGTAGGGTGTGCAAAAGAAGAAAATTAAAGGTGAATACAGGAAAGAGTAAGGTTATGAGGATAACAAAAAGATTAGGTGATGAAAGATTGAATATCAATTGGAGGGAGAGAGTATGGGGGAGGTGAACGTTTTCAGATATTGGGAGTGGATGTGTCAGCGGATGGGTCAAATGAAAGATGAGGTGAATCATAGAATTTATGAGGGAAAAGAGTGAGTGGTGCACTTAGGAGTCGTGGAGACAAAGAACTTTGTCCTTGGAGGCAAAGAGGGGGAAAGTATGAGAGTATAGTTTTAAACCAACCCCTCTTATATGGTGTGAAGCGTGGTGATGAATGTTGCAGCGAGGAGAAGGGGGTGGAGGCAGTGGGGATGCATGTCCTGAGGGCAATGTGTGGGGAATAAATGCAGAGAATTCGTGAGTTTTGGAAGTTAGGAGAGTGCGGGATTACCAAACTGTTGTCCAGAGGGCTGAGGAAGGGTTGTTGGGTGGTTCGGACATGTAAAAGGAATTGGAAGCGAAACAGAATGACTTCAAGATGTATCATCCCGTAGTGGAAGGAAGGCGGGGTAGGGGTCGCTAGGAGGGTTGGAGGGAGGGGTAAAGGAGGGTTTTGTGTGCGAGGGGGTTGGACTTCCACGCAGGCATGCGTGAGCGGTTTGATAGGATGAATGGAGACAAATGGTTTTTAATACTTGAAAGTGCTTGTTTGGAGTTGAGCAAAGTAACATTTTATGAAGGGATCAGGGGAAACCAAGCCGGGCTTGATCTGGAATGGGAAGTACAGTTGCCTGCACTCTGAAGGAGGGGTGTTAATGTTGCAGTTTAAAAACTGTAGTGTAAAGCACCCTTCTGGCAAGACAGTGATGGAGTGAATGATGGTGAAAGTTTTTCTTTTTCGGGCCACCCTGCCTTGGTGGGAATCGGCCAGTGTGATAATAAAAAAAAAAAAAAAAACATGTTATTAACATACATGTTATTAATAACATACGTTATTAAAGCATAACATGTATATATTTAGTACAATTTACGACGTTTTCATGTATTTTATGATTATTCATGGTTCAACAAGTTAAGGAAGCAGTATTGTAATATATTTCCCTACAATATATTGGAGCACCAAACATTCACGGTTTTTCAACATTCGCGAGGCTCTTGATCCCCTAACCCTCGCGAATGTTGAGGGAGACCTGTATTTATTGTAGGTAGCCTGAATTAATGAAGAATGGGTATAATTGAAAACAGCTGTAAAACGAAGTGCTGTAAAGTGGGGCCTTCCTGTATAGTACTGTATACAGAATTGCAGTAGTGGTTAAGAAAACAAGTTTCCAGTTAGTGGCAAATGGGAAATATACAGTAATTTACCTAGCAGCCAGTTTGGTGACCATGTCAGGGAGAGAAACTCCACAATTTAACAAGGTTTTCTCAGGTTGTCTGATCAATTCTTCAAGATGTATCTTAACATAGCAGTGCCCTCACAATTTTTTGTATCATAAGTTTTTTCATGTCATGTTCATTTTATACAGTTTGTGGTTTTTTACAGTATTTTAAATTACACCTCTGACCTCCAAGTCTAGCATGAGTTAACCATGTCTTACCATAGGAAAAGGGGCTACCCGACCTTCACATGGCCTTAGATGCATTGTCTTGCTGTGCCCCTGGTATAGGATCAGCACCACTGACTGGGTCATCCTATACCAGGGTCTTTTGTCAAGGTTGTTGCCCAATGAACAGACTTACTACAACAACTAGCTTTCACTTCATTCTTCTTTAAAATGTTATCCAATTTTAGTATGGGGTATTTATTTAAACTGATGGGTCAAAGGAAGAGAATTTCAATTAAATTTTTTCTTTCGTTTTTGGATCTAGGTATTACAACTAATAAGGTGATGTGAATTCTTAGCTTAATTATAAATAGCATTCCAGTAGAGTATTGCTAGATTTATATCCTTTTTGTATCGTATAAAAATGATAATTATCTTTCATTTGAGCCCTCAAGGGAGGTGTCTTGATGCTACTAAGAGGCTTTTGATCCAAGGAATTGGATCAAGAGTCTCTTAGTAGCATCAGGCCTCATTATCTTCTATTCCCTCAGTCAGTGTGTGCCCCTATGAGTTTAATAGTAATGATAATAATAATTAAATATTTATACAATTGTTAGTAATTAAATACATGTATCCTTATCAGTTCTCACTAGACTACTACAGTAATTGTTTTTTTTTTTTCAGATTTGCGTCTGGAGATTTTTAAAAAAATACATGAGAAATATGATGAATGGTTTGTAAACATTTGTGATTCCTAGTTTTTATTTAGACAAATTTCTTTTTATAAACACTTTGAAAAAATTTAAGACAGGCCAGAATTACATTTCAATATCTTTACAGAATTGTATGTTTTTATTTCTTTTTAACATGCTGGCCGTCTCCCACCGAGGCAAGCTGGCCTGAAAGAGAAACATTTTCACCATCATTTACACTATCACTGTTTTGCCAGAGGCGTGCATGTACAACAATTAGATGTCCCTCTAAACAGCAGATATCCCAAACCCCCTCCTTTAGAGTGCAGAAATTAGTAGTTATACAAGTCAAGACAAAAATAAATTATATGCAAAAACAGTCACTAATGGCATGGTCCTCAGACAACTAGACAGATTGAAACCAAACACATCACTGGGTCTTGATGAGTTGTGCTTACAGATTCTGAAGGAATGTTAGGAAGAACTTAGAAAATCATTATCTAGTCTCTTCAGCTGATCAGTACAAACAGGTATTGTACCAGAAACATGGAAAGAGACAAATATGATACCTATTTACAAAGCAGGAAATGTATCCTTTGCTTCAAGTTATAAACAGATCAGCCTGACCTCAACTGTGGGAAAGTTAACGGGATTAATAATTGCAAATGCAGTTCAAAGTTACTATGAAAGATATAATTTGATCATTCTCAGCAGGGTTCTTGTAGGTGCAGTGGACCCCTGGTTCGCGATATTAATCTGTTCCTGAGAGCTCATCGTAAACCAAAATTATCGGAAAGCGAATAAATTTTCCCCATAAGAAATAATGGAAATCAAATTAATCCGTGCAAGACACCCAAAAGTATGAAAAAAAACTTTTACCACATGAAATATTAAGTTTAATGCAATAGAATAATTACAATAACAATAGAATAATTGACACTTACCTTTAATGAAGATCTGGTGATGATTGATGGGATGGGAGGAGGGGAGAGTGTTGAACCTATTGTTTAGAAGGGGAATCCCCCTCCATTAGGACTTGAGGTAACAAGTCCTTTTCCGGGGTTACTTCCCTTCTTCTTTTAATGCCACTAGGACCAGCTTGAGAGTCACTGGACTTCTGTCGCACAACATATCTGTCCATAGAGGCCTGTGCCTCTCGTTCCTTTATGACTTTCCTAAAGTGGTTCACAACAGTGTCATTGTACAGGTTGCCAACACGGCTTGCGGTAGCTGTCTGAGGGTGATTTTCATCAAAAAAGCTTTGCACTTCAAGCCACTTTGCACACATTTCCCTAATCTTTGAAGTAGGCAAGTTCTTCACTTTATCCATCCCCTCCTTCGAAGCAGTTTCCTCAGGTGTGGCCTCTTGCTGTTGAAGATGATCTAGCAGCTCATCAGTGGTTAGTTCATCATTGTCCTCCTCCATCAACTCTTCCACATCCTCTCCACTAACCTCCAACCCCAAGGACTTCCTCAATGCCACAATGGATTCCTCAACTGGCATAGGCTTCTCAGGGTTAGCCTTAAACCCTTCGAAATCCCTTTTGTCTACACATTCTGGCCACAGTTTTTTCCAGGCAGAGTTCAAGGTCCTCTTAGACACTCCCTCCCAAGCCTTACCTATAAGGTTTACACAATTGAGGATATTAAAGTGATCCTTCTAAAACTCTTTTAGAGTCAATAGAGTATCTGTGGTCACTTCAAAGCACCTTTCAAACATAGCTTTTGTGTACAGTTTCTTGAAGTTGGAAATGACCTGCTGGTCCATGGGCTGCAGGAGAGGAGTGGTATTAGGAGGCAAAAACTTGACCTTAATGAAGCTCATGTCCCCAGAAAGTCGCTCTGCCAAGTCTGTAGGATGACCAGGGGCATTGTCTAATACCAGGAGGCACTTAAGGTCTAATTTCTTTTCAATTAGGTAATTTTTCACATTGGGGGCAAATGCATGGTGTAACCAGTCAGAAAAAGTCCCTAGTGACTCATGCCTTACTGTTTGCCCTCCACAGCACACACAAATTAGCCTTGAGGATATTCTTTTGCCTGAATGCTCTGGGAGTTTCTGAGTGATACACCAACAAAGGCTTCACTTTGCAATCACCACTAGCATTGGCACACATCAGAAGAGTAAGCCTATCTTTCATAGGCTTATGTCCTGGGAGTGCCTTTTCCTCCTGAGTAATGAGCCTGTTTTGTCGCAATTAAACACTTGTTCAGGTTTCAAGTCTTCACTGTCTATGTAATCCTTGAATTCTTTCACATATTTTTCAGCTGCTTTTTGGTCTGAACTGGCAGCCTCACCATGCCTAATCACACTATGTATGCCACTACGATTCTTAAATCTTTCAAAGCAACCTTTGCTGGCCTTAAATTCACTCACATCACCACTAGTTGCAGGCAATTTCTTTACCAAATCGTCATGCAACTTCCTAGCCTCTTCACAAATGATCGCTTGAGAGATGCTATCTCCTGCTATCTGTTTTTCATTTATCCACACCAATAACAGTCTCTCAAAATTTTCTAACACTTGCGGTCGCTGTTCCATAATCACAGTTGTACCTTTTGCAAGAATAGCTTCCTTGATTGCCGTTTTCCTGCTCACTATAGTAGAGATGGTTGATTGGGGTTTACTATACAACTTGGCCAGCTCCGACACACACACTCCACTTTCGTACTTTGCAATTATCTCTTTCTTCATTTCAATAGTCATTAGCACCCTTGGTCTCGAAGGGTTGGCACTAGAAGCTTTCTTGGGGCCCATGGTGACTTATTTTGCAGAAACAAGCACCAAAAACAGTGACAGTATGGATAATATGGAATGTACCGAATGTATCCTTAGATGCACACACACTGGCTGGCTTGTAAACACTGGCACACACGGGACAGTTCAGGCCACACGTGGACACATCTCGTACGAATCGCATCGCATACCGAGTTTTGTAACGGGAACCGAGGCAAATTTTGTGATATTATGCATCGGATACTGGATTTATCGGATACCGATAGCATCGCTAACCGGGGGTCCACTGTATTATTGTCTTATTAATTTACCAGTACTAATCTTTTTCACAAAGGTATTTGAAGTGATAGACCCTGATAAATAGTACAATATTTTGTATGTGGATTTCAGTAAAGCCTTTGATAGAGCTCCACACACAAGTCTGATTAAGGAGTAAGAAACAAGCAACACTGGTATAGGACAAATTATCTCTTGCATTGAGGCATGGTTACCGGCCCACACCACGGTGTGTTGTAGGCTGGTAAAAAGGAATGAAAAAATTGAAAAATTGGTTAAGTTGACAAAAAAATACTTCAACAATCTGGCAACATTTTGGTGTAAGTCTCATCTTCGTATGATGTTTCTACAATGAATTATAGTCACTACAACATTTCTTGTGATAATGCCACAGTTAGTACATCCCCACACATGAAGTTAATTTTAGGCTTTTTTTTTTTTTTTTTTTTTTCTATAATATATTAGAATCACTATTTGACATTGTTGCAAAGTGTGATGAACTATGGCAAACCAGGAGAAGCCGGGAGTGACGATGAAGATGCCATGATGGGGAGAAGCATGTCACTCATCGTGCTATAAAATGTTATATTCTTACACTATTATTGACAGTTGTATTTATTTATCTGTCACATGTCTTCCAAAATCATATTAGACATACAATAAATACCACAAATATAATACAGATGCCCAAACGAATAAAAAATGACATATTCTGAGAAGTGGTCTGAGCAGAGTGTAAAAGTGCTGTATGGCATTGTAAGCTCAAGGTTATAATGTTACGTCCTTTCTGGTCCACTGACACTAAAGAAAACTGTGCAGCACAGGGGTTACTGTAGAACAACACTTTTTCATATGCCAAGAATCGTAAATAGTGCGATTTTTCTCCAAAAAACTTTGCTTCCAATAATGTACATACAACCTCTCCTCACTTAGCCATGTACTTGTTGACGTGACTTGGACTTACGATGGGCTCTCTGACCAATATGCATACCTAAATAATGTATATTAGAGCTCATTTCCTGTATTCTGTTTATTAGAATACACAGTACACTACTGTATAAACATTTAAAAATGTATCAGAAATGTTATAAATGGTGAAAAGGTGACATTAAAACAATATCAAAGATGGCTGACACAAACCCACTACCATTATAGTATGCTCCTGACTTAGCAATGAATTCATTTACGGATGTGGTCTTAGGAACGGAACTCCGTTGTTAAGTGAGGAGAGGCTGTCCTTGGCTGCGTTTTCCTCAATATCTCAGAAGTTATTGACATATTTATTGTAATAGCTCCATTATTAATGAACAAATTGAAAGGATTTTCACAATGAGCATTCAACAATAAATGTTTACAAGCTGGTGGAAATATTTTTGCAATAGCACAATTATTTTTTCCCTCTCTCTCCATTTGTGGTAGGGTAAAGGGCAGATATTTTATTAAATTTCAAAAATTTACTAACTTTATTTTTGGGGGGGGGATGAAAAAAAGGTATATTTACAGTATTTATTTTAATTAGGGAGTGCCAAACACACTTTTGGCAATGCCAGTACATGAGTTGATGCTGCCAAATCCAGTTTTCAGCGTAGTATATATTTTATTTGATTGTTGGCTGATCTTAATGAAACTTATACGTATATGAAAGAAGACATATATGCCTATTCAAACAAACAAAAAATAAATGAAATTGGAGAAAAAAAAAATCCAAAATTATTGTTCCTTTGATAGAGCTCCACACAGAAACAAGAGCATGTGATATAGGAAAACTTATGTCCTGCGTCGAGGCATGGTTAATGGGTAAACAACAGAGTTTGCACAAATGTGAAGACCTAATGGGGTCCATTATAAGTGGGGTGCAAGGGTCAATATTAGGACCCTTGTTTATAATTTGCATAAACTACATGGATGAGAGGATAAATAGCAACAAGCAAGTTTACTTTGGAAAGCAGTTTACTGGACTATGTGCTAGGGTCTTGCTGGTTACGGTGTGACTGGCTGACATGTTTAGTAATTGTTTAGTAGTATCCAGGGTAAGAGTCAGAATAAAAGGAGAAATAAAAGGAGATTGGGAGGGTACTAGGTGAAAGAAAATTAAGTGAATGAATTAGCTTGGGATGTCTGCCTTGGCTTCAGTTTTAGTAACAGTAATTCTGCAGTGCCACTGTAAACATTAGGAGGCTATAGACATAGCTGTAGTCTCCATCCACACCTCCAGTGATCCACCTGCTGAACTTAGTCTGCCACCTCCTGGTTGGCCCACTTGTCTCCCTCTTAGCTCTCTGCCCACCTGCCTAACTCCCCCCCTTCCCCCTCTACCAGCAACCACTAATTCCTGCAAGCTTGCTGGGTTTCCAGATATCAGAGGTTTTCAGTTTAAATTGTAGCAGTTATAATAGTTTTTACTGTACAACACTACTAAAATCCAAAATTTGAGAGAATTATTTCGCTAAAAGTCCTCACAAATTCAGAATTTGTAAATACTGCTAAATATTTTGTATAATTTTTTCTTTTTCCTCAGATTTGGAATGATTTTTTGTATTCAAGATCAGATCTCTCGAAATAACATTCTGCTGTGATTAACATTGCCATTCATAAGAATAATCTCTCTTCCAGTGAGCACATTTTGAAGTGAATGCTATGATTAGCTTTTAATTTAAAGGTAAAGTGTCAAGTCAAGCAGTGGTCACTGTGAATAAATGAGGCCATTAACAGGTGCCCTTCAATTAATATTTTATAAGGAAGCTTGCAGATTTCATGGTTTTATGTATAACCTTTTCAGGGTCCAGAGATCAAATTTCGAAGTGTGCACCAGGGTCCAAGAATTTAAAAAAAAAAAAATTGTTATTTTTTTACGAAATGGTAGAGAATCTTTTTCTGAAATGTACGAAATTTGATGGAAAATTTACGAAATTATGCTCTCGTGAATTTTGATGTCAGCTATATTTACGCATCGGCGATTTTACCAGCTTTGACTCCCATTTTAGGCCAATTACATTATTCCAGTTGACCAAATTCTTAGCTATTTCACTAGTATTACTTCTATTCTGTCGATTGAGCACAAGAAATCACCAAGTCAACTGTTTCAACTACAAAATAAAGTAATCGGAAATTGGTAATTTGGCCAATTTAACACAAAGTTCAAAATATTCCAATTTCAAAACAGGGTCCAGAATAAACAATGCAGGCATTCCTGGCACTAAACTAATATTTCCTCTGTTCATTAGTTACATTTTCAGGCTTTACAAATGAATTTCATTTTGATTTTTTATTCACATAATGAATTTTTATTCAAACAAAAAATAGAAGATTTACTGTTATGCAATTTTGTAATAATTGTATAAATAATATCACTTCATTTGCGAACGTATATTAGACCCCACCAACTGGCATGTATTAGACGTGTGAGGTCATTTGTTTACTCTTGATCATCGGCAAAAATTTAACATTTCCGCTACTTTGAGCTCAATTTCAAGCCATTTCCAGTACTAAAACCAGTCAAAATCATCTCTGTTTCTGTAATATATCTTCCATTCTATCAAATGAGACCAAGAAATTGCAAATACAACTATAAAAAACATATAAAAAAACACTGCAAAGTCACTGTTTTAATCGAATATTACAGTCTCAGTTTTTTTCTCTCATTATGCACTGTGTGCTGCAGGATTTGTTTTATGTGGTGCACACATACCACATAGATGTATTCTCTCATATCTAGGCCCAAATTTACCGCTCACAGCTTATCAGAGTGAGCTGAGCTCATGGCGTAGATCTACGGTTTGGACCCTCAACTCATTGCCGTAGAACTATGGCACGGACCCTGAAAGAGATAAATGATGCACCATTACTGTTGATCAGTCGCATCTGTGGCAGTAAAATTCTCCCAATATAGTCATGTGATCAAATAGATATCCAGTAATTTTAATGACACCACTAAATAAAAGAACATTATGAATTGGTTCAAGAATAATTATTCATATTCTGTGGTTAGCCAGACTTGAGTCCTGGAGGTGGGAAGTACAGTGCCTGCACTCTGAAGGAGTGGAGATATGTTGCAGTTTTTAAATTGTAATATCGGCATACCTTTGGCAAGACATCAATGGACTGAGTGATGATGGAAGTGATTCTTCTTTTTCAGGTCACCCTGCCTCAGTGGGAAATGGCCAATGTGTTATTTTTTGGGGGGAAGGGGGAGATTGTTACCCCTTAATTACTTTTTTTTTTTCTCGTGTAGTGCTGAAGATAGGATATCGTACGAGGGCACTGGTTCGTCATCACTTGTACTTGTGTCTCAGAATGACAATGGTATGAGCAAAAGACCAGCAAACTCAGGTGAGGTTCAGCTATAAATGATATTATATGTTCGAAAATTGATTTAAAATAGTCTTTAGTACATTAGATAATTTTTTTAATTTATAAGAATGTGTTATGACACGTGTAGATATTAAAAAAACCCCAGTAATGACTAGTGAAGGGACCATATTAGGGGTATGCCAGAGTATCGGTATTGGGGGTATGTATTAACTAATTTTGAGGGTATTGGTATCAGCCTAAAACTGAGTGTCATTGTCAGCTGGCATTTATTCAACAGCAACAATGAATGAATGGAGAGCAGAGGCAAGGGAATCTATACTGAACATAATAGCAAACAGTAGATGTTATCAGTGTAGGGAATAGGCATGACATGTTCTAGAGCCCCTTCTGTAGAAATGTCTTATTTAAGATTACAGTTTTAGTTTTGCTAATCCAGTTTTTGTTGATTTTTACATTATGACAATCCTGTTGCTGTTTCTGCATATGTTGTATTACTGACACCAAAATTGTTACTAAATTTTGTTAATTTAATATTTTTAACTTTATTCACAGGTGATGATCAGAATAAAAACAGAAAGGCTGTTCCAATTTTTAGTGTCATGAAAACACCTTCATCTACTGAGTATTTGAAATTAAGTCAAGGATTAGAACTGCCTCATCACCATAAAGGTGAAATGTCTGAACCACAACCATCCATGAATATTTTCATTGTGCCCTGGCACAACCATCGTTAGTCCTTGTGCCCTCTTGAGGCGTTATGAGATGACGCTGCAAAATAGGGCACCAAAATGCTTAAGTGGTAAGGTGGACTTAACTGACACTAGTCATCAATGCACAAGCTTATGTGATTTAAAGTCTTCTGATGACAACAGTGGTGCCATTACATCAAAATCTGATTCTGTGTTTCTTGAAGATTCAAGAAAAGATTTAACAGTTTGCCATAAAGAAAACATACTTGAAAATAAAATACCCTCTTTGCTTCAGGGAAACAAGTCAGGTTATCCAGAAAGATTAGAAAATGTGACACCACTACTGAAATCTGTGTGTGATTCTGAGTGCCCTCAAACAGTTGTAGTGGATGCTCTTCATTTTTTAGAAAAGTGTGAGAAACAGTCTAAGTTGCCACAGATGAGAGATACTAATCCAAGTAAGGAAGACAGTTCATTGCATTGTACATTTACTAAAGACTGCATTCCTCAAAACATTAATAACATAGGATCTGAAATTATATCTCATTCTTCTCTTGAAGGCATATTTGACCTTCCAACAAACATTAGGACTAACTGTGTGTATGAGAAAAAAGGTTCTCTAAAAGGGAAAGACTATGGAGAAAATTTATTTCCACATCCTGAGTGTAGAGGTAAAGAGGAAAATATAAGCAAATCCATTTTTCCTGTTGTCAATACCAGTAATGCTGGAAGAGAGAGAATAAAAATGGTTGCAGAAATTCCCTTATCACAGTCTAACTTAACACTAACTCTTCAATAGGCCTTTTACTTTCATCTAGTGTAGTGCAGCAAGTTCCACTTTATCACATTTTCCATCAGAATGCCAGCCATTTCCTCCAGCTTGTTGTTGTGCTTCATATGAGCAACCCTCCAACCCAAAGTATCAATTAACCAGTAGAGAAGAGCAGGTACTTGGCCTAGCAGTGGATAAATATAGTCATCCTAGTGGCCAGTTTAAACAAGTGGGTCATGTCACAGCCCCAACATTATGTCTTTTTAATAAAGAGGATGCTTCATTAGATACTCAATGAATTTACACATGACACAGAATGTTAAGCCTAATGTTGTTGCTAATGAGTCATCTTTCCCGGTAAGCTACTTAGATACTAAACAGCCAACATGGCGTACAAGACACCAAGACTTCAGTCCTTCCAGTCCAGTTCCCTGTGAAAGACATCCGACAAGATCTTCATTTCCCAATGCTGTGAAGTGTAGTGGTGTATGTTGTTCTGCTTCAGGGCACACAGATTATATTGGTAGCCAAAACTTGCATAGTATGTCAGCAGTACCACTTAAGAAACATCCACAGTTATCTAGATATCCTTATGATTTACCAGAAGATCCCATTTTTGAAAGAAGTAGTGAAATGACTCAAAGATGTCATCAGCAAATTTCTCTGTGGCCTAGGATATCAGATCAACCTCGTACATCAAGAGCACATACATCAGCAAGTGTTTCCCATAGTATAGGATGTTGGTAAGTAATGCATTATGAACTTCAAACATTACGTAGATAACTTAAGAATATTGTTACGTAACATTCAGTTCTCTACTGTTTTATAGTTCTTGCACTTCAGCATCTCTTATGTTTTCAATGTTCTTTCTCCTAAAGATGTAGTATCATGAAAAGGTTAACTCAGTTTTGTTGTGTGTACAGTATCTTTGTTGGTGTAAAAGTCTACTTGACGTGAAGTTTTATAACATTCAGGTGCTCTCTATGCTTGTCAGAATGACAATCATAAACATGACTTGCATGTTCCATTTAATACATAAATGACATGACTTGCATGTTCCAGTTAAAATGTGCATGTCAAAAGCTACTTACGTGCTGTCTGTTATTTGTTTAAATATCTTTCAGACATTCAGAGAGGATGGAATGAAATAGAATGACTTGGAGAGCACTTAATCTGTAGTGGAAGGAAGGAAGGGTTGGGGTCAGCCTAGGAAAGGTTTGAGAGAGGGGGTAAAGGTTTTGTGTGCGAGGGGCCTGGACTGCCAGCATGAGCATGTTACACAAATAACCCACACATAGAAGAAAGGAGCTTATGACGACGTTTTGGTCTGACTTGGACCATTTACAAAGTCACACTAACGAAAAGGAGAGGAGGAGGGAGTATATATGGGCCAGGAGGTGGTAGTGGAGGTAGAGGGTGGTAGTGGGGAAGGTAGTATGGAGGTGAAGCCAGTCAAATACTAAGAAAGAGGAGCACTGCAAGGGAGCTAAGGGCCCACAGAGGGTAGGAGCAAGAACATAGAGGGAGGAAGAAATAAATAATGAAGGAACAAATACTCACAGAAATATAACTTAAGTTGGACACGAGTCCTGGAGGTAGGAAGTACAATGCCTTCACTTTAAAGGAGGGGTTTGGGATATTGGCTGTTGTGGAGAGTGACATGTGAACTGTCATGTCTGGGCACCTCTGCAAAGATAGTGATTATGTGTGAATGATGGTGAAAGTATTGAATGATATTGAAAGTGTTTTTCTTTTTTGGGTCACCTTGCCTTTGTGGGAGACAGCCAGCATGTTAAAAAAAAAACTTAAGCTACTATGTATCAATTTGATCAGTTTTTTATGGGATGGTTGGATATAGCATATCTGTATTGTAAATTTTTTTTTAACCGTGACAGTTAAATTAACTTAAAATAAATGAAATGATTCTAAAAGAAAAGTCTCTGTGTGATGTCTTGTGTTTATGTATAAGGTGCCTGTGAAATTTTTAATTTGATTGCACAAAAAATCTACAGTATGCTAAATAAAAAGAAACGCTGTAATTAAGAAAGAAATTTTAGTTTTCACACAGGATATAAATAGTATTTTGCTTTATGTTAGGTAGAAATTTTAGTTTTCACACAGGATATAAATAGTATTTTGCTTTATGTTAGGTTAGGGTGTGTAGAAGAGAGGGAGACTACTTCCCGGTAAAAGTAGGTCTTAGACAGGGATGTGTAATGTCACCATGGTTGTTTAATATATTTATAGATGGGGTTGTAAAAGAAGTAAATGCTAGGGTGTTCGGGAGAGGGGTGGGATTAAATTATGGGGAATCAAATTCAAAATGGGAATTGACACAGTTACTTTTTGCTGATGATACTGTGCTTATGGGAAATTCTAAAGAAAAATTGCAAAGGTTAGCGGATGAGTTTGGGAATGTGTGTAAAGGTAGAAAGTTGAAAGTGAACATAGAAAAGAGTAAGGTGATGAGGGTATCAAATGATTTAGATAAAGAAAAATTGGATATCAAATTGGGGAGGAGTAGTATGGAAGAAGTGAATGTTTTCAGATACTTGGGAGTTGACGTGTCGGCGGGTGGATTTATGAAGGATGAGGTTAATCATAGAATTGATGAGGGGAAAAAAGGTGAGTGGTGCGTTGAGGTATATGTGGAGTCAAAAAACGTTATCTATGGAGGCAAAGAAGGGAATGTATGAAAGTATAGTAGTACCAACACTCTTATATGGGTGTGAAGCTTGGGTGGTAAATGCAGCAGCGAGGAGACGGTTGGAGGCAGTGGAGATGTCCTGTCTAAGGGCAATGTGTGGTGTAAATATTATGCAGAAAATTTGGAGTGCGGAAATTAGGAAAAGGTGTGGAGTTAATAAAAGTATTAGTCAGAGGGCAGAAGAGGGGTTGTTGAGGTGGTTTGGTCATTTAGAGAGAATGGATCAAAGTAGAATGACATGGAAAGCATATAAATCTATAGGGGAAGGAAGGCGGGGTAGGGGTCGTCCTCGAAAGGGTTGGAGAGAGGGGGTAAAGGAGGTTTTGTGGGCGAGGGGCTTGGACTTCCAGCAAGCGTGCGTGAGTGTGTTAGGTAGGAGTGAATGGAGACGAATGGTACTTGGGACCTGACGATCTGTTGGAGTGTGAGCAGGGTAATATTTAGTGAAGGGATTAAGGGAAATGGGAAGTACAATGCCTGCACTTTAAAGGAGGGGTTTGGGATATTGGCAGTTTGGAGGGATATGTTGTGTATCTTTATATGTGTATGCTTCTAAACTGTTGTATTCTGAGCACCTCTGCAAAAACAGTGATAATGTGCGAGTGTGGTGAAAGTGTTGAATGATGATGAAAGTATGTTCTTTTTGGGGATTTTTTTTCTTTTTTGGGTCACCCTGCCTCGGTGGGAGATGGCCGACTTGTTAGAAAAAAAAAAAAATAAAACTCATTAGTGACAAAATATAGACTAGCGGAAGTAAAATGGAAATTCCTTGCTTGTATATAAGATACATTGAAACCAAAATACTGTGCACAGATTGCATCAGTGCTTTATGTAATTAGAGTTCTGATTACCTGCCAGATATCCTTTCCTTGAGTTTGTCCCAGATATCTTTTCCTTAAGGGTATAAAGGTTTAAACAAGTTTTATATCAAACCTGATTGTTGACAGCCTATAACATCTTGTATTAATACTGATTCAGTCTTCATTTTCCCCAGTTGTGAGCGTTACTCAAATAACAGGACTTGTCAGAATCCCAAAGATGTATTCAGAGAGCACACGCATTGTCAGCCTAGTCATCAAGGTTTGTTTTCATAGATTTTGAAATTACTCTGGATGAGAATACTGTTGTCAAATTGACTTCCATCTAGAATTTTGAGTTTGAGTCTCAATATTTAACTGATGCTGTCTAATCAGATTTGCTATGTTTATTTTCTGTTTGTATTATTTTTAACATCTTCACTATAATTACTAGTTTTCTTACAGCATTGTGTAGCTCCAGTGTTTCACAAGTTAACTTATCTTCTTAGTTGCCTGAATCAGTGTTGCTACACTATTTAAGCTTCAGCAATCTTTCTCTACTTATGAGTTAGTTTCTTAAAGTTTAAGGGGTAACTATTTTAGTTTCTTTAGCACAATTTTTTCTTATTGTTCTGAACTTCATTTCATTATTAGACTTGACAAGGTACTTTTAAAATACTCTACATGCGGTATATTCTTGTACCATACTGGAGTCATGTTTATTTAATACTTTTATTATGCATCTGAAACTCAGTCTGTAGGGGGTAGTAGAAAAAAATTGGAGGCACATACTGTAATGGCTGCATAATGTGGATTTCAATGTTCTTTTAACCACCATAAGCAAGTTGCATTGATTAAGGCAGGGTTTCCTGACCCACTTACATACCAGACAGCGATTGAATGCATGACAGTGAATGTGTTTTCTTCTCTGGAGACGACCACTGAGGTACAAAAAAAAAAAAAACCTGCTTTCATGTTGCTCTACCAGATTATATTATTGATTGAGTAAAGAACTGGAAATTATAGCACGAAGTCAGTCCATTCATCTCAAATGTGTGAATTAGAAACCTTTAATTTTTTTTTTGCACTTGAGCAGGATTACTGATCATTTCTTTTAGTCTCATGAACTCATAAGATGAAAGGTAATTCTTACAAACTAATACTTACATCCAATATACATAGTATATTGAATGTGAGTAGGTTTTAATCCTGTAATATTTCTTTTTCAACCTAGGAGGCCTGATCTGAGATCAGGCCATGGGGAAGATAATCCCCAGAACTCTTAACAGATAACCTGTAATAATTATTTTAGTCAGTCTCTCTTATCTCTGTGAGGGTATGTTGCCTTGTTCTAATCATTGCAGAAGCAAGAATAATAAGGCTGATAGATTATTTTTTTTATTTTTTTAACACATTGGCCGATTCCCACCAAGGCAGGGTGGCCCAAAAAAGAATAACTTTCATCATCATTCACTCCATCACTGTCTTGCCAGAGGGATGCTTTACACTACAGTTATAAAATTGCAACATTAACACCCCTCCTAGCTTCGTAACACCCCCATAGCTTCTTAAATATGTTGATAGTTGAATTTGATATAAAAATGCATAGACTATGAGTACTTTAACATTTAATTGATGAAGTTTTCCTAGACAGATTTTATTGAGTACAGTATTTACTTTTAATGACAGATAACAATATTTGTGTTGGAGTGCAGGACTGGGTGGATGCGAGTAGCAACACAGGTGCCCGGCTTCCACATTTCCACCACACTGGCACCCATAAGCTCCCACAGGTATTTAATAAATTAAAGTGTACTTTAATAGCCCTTTGTCTATATTAAGAAAGTGGTTCTTGTGTTGACTATATATACAGTAGAACCCCCATATCCAATGATTAGGTATCTATGGTTTACTGTGGCCCAACAGTACCTCTTAATTTTATTGAATACATTTCAGTCCTGGTACCTTGGTCACGCCAAACTCATTTGAAATGACCAAGGCCCCAGGACTGAAATGTATTCAGTAAAGATGTCGTAAGTGTATGCATTTGTATCCTGTCATCCATACCTATCTAGGTTTATTATACTTTGCTATGCATAACTTCTACTGCATATTTCTATGCAATAATTTTGTCCTACTCTCTAAATAATTTAGGTATAGTTGGTAAAGGGCAAGGGAGGAGACAGGTAACTGAGATGTCAAGTTTAAGAGCAATGTTTGGTGTAAATATCGTGCTGAGAATTCGGAGAGTAGAAATTAATAGGTTATGTAGTCACCAAGGGTAAAAATTCATCTAGAGGGCTGAGAAGGGGTCATTGAGGTAGTTTGGACATGTAGAGAGGATGGAAAGGGATATAGTTAGGGATTATCCTAGAAACAATTGGAGGGAGGGGGTAAAAGATACTTTTGAGTTTTAGTGGCTTGAGCATCCAGCATATTTGTGTGTTGTGTGAGCGTATTAGCAACGAATGGCAACAAGTGCTGCTGGAGTGTGAGCAAAGTAATTTTATGAAAGGATTTGGAGAAGCTGGTTAGCCAGACTTGAGTCCTGGGGGTGGGAAGGATAGTGCCTGCACTCTGAAGAAAGAATGGGGATGTTGCAGTTGGAGGGTAATCTGATGTCATCATGCTTCTCATGCGGCAGCGATTGAATGAATGATGGTGAATGTTATTATATTTGGGTCATCCTGCCTTGGTAGGAAATGGCCATCGACTTAAGAATACAGTGGGCCCCTGCCATATGAAGCATTTGAACGCAAAAATTTTGCCTCGCCTCACGATAAAAAACTCGCCTTACATGATTAGTCTGGGTCGCATCCCATGTGTGACCTCAGCGCCAGTGTTTATAAGCCAGCCAGTGCGGTCACATCTACGCATACATTCGGTACATTTCACATTATCCCAGTGTTTTTAGCGCTTGTAACTGCAAAATAAGTCACCATGTACCCCAAGAAAGCTTCTAGTGCCATCCCTGTGGTAAAAAGGGCGAGAATTAGTATGGAATTGAAAAAAGAGATTAACCCTTTGAGGGTTTCGGACGTACTAGTACGTCTTAGGCGTAGGGGTTTTTGACGTACTAGTACACACAAATTCTAGCGCCGTCAAATCTCGCGGGAAAAGGCTGGTAGGCCTACATGTGAGAGAATGGGTCTGTGTGGTCGGTGTGCGCGGTAGAAAAAAAATCTGGGACCCAGTGGTGCATTGTGGGAACACCATCTTAGTAAACAATGTCCACCATGCCTCGCGGTAAGAAGCTTCTCACTCCTCGGCGAATTGGGACACTTTTGTTCCCCAGTGACAGTTCTAATACAGATGGAAGTGCCAGTGAAGATGAGTTTCAAGGTTTTGGTGAGGTTTTGACCGAAACTAATGACCATAATATCGGTAATAGTGAGGAAAACCCAGACGACCCTCAGCCTTCCACCTCTGGTGCTGGGCCGTCTTGTTCACGTTCAGTTGTACCAGAATCCAAGAGGAAACTTCTATTTTCCCAAATCCCAGACTCAGATGAGAGCATGGGTGATGATAGTGATAGTGAATATGAACTACAAGCTCTTCAAACTAGTTCCAGTAGTGATAGTGAAGTGCAATATTCCCCAGTGAAGCGTCAGTATATACGACGATATATGCGCTCTGGTAGTGTGCCATGTGCTATTCCAAGGGAAAGGAGTGCATCTCGGAGTACATCCCGTGGCTGTACAACAGGAACAGAGAGTGAAAATGACGATGATACTGTTGCAATTGGGATGGAAAATGTGCGTGGTGGTGGTGGTGCCGGCGGTGAGGCACCAGCAGTGGGCCATGCTGCCACCCACGCTGCCACCCACGCCTCTGCCTCAGCTGATCTACAACAAAGGCCATCATCCCCCACCCACCCACCACACCAGCCTCCACAACCACAACCTCCACAACCACAACCTCCACAACCACAACCACCTGTCATTGTCCAGTACCCACCAGCAGACCGCACCTGGGATTGGCAGGAAGCTGTCAATTTTGTTCCAAATGCCCACCAGTTTGATGACAGCCAAAGTGGAATACGCCCATCTTGTACACTTGGGAACAATGCCACTGAACTGGAATGTTTCGAGTTATTCTTTGACGAACCACTGATGGAAAGTATTGTCATGGAAAGCAACACATACTACGAGTACACCATGGCAAACACATTACTTTCACCAAAATCACATCTACACCAGTGGAAGGAGGCAACTGTGGCTGAGATGTATCTTTTCTTTGCCGCAATAATGCTTATGCCACGTGTATAAGCACAAAGTGGAATCATACTGGTCAACAGACCGCCTGATTGCAACCCCAGGTTTCAGTGATATAATGCCAGTGAATCGATTTGTGCTAATGTTACGTATGCTTCATTTCTCAGACAAAACCAGGCCTGACAGAACTGACAGGTTATATAAGATTAGGAATGTGTTTGTGTATCTGAAAGAGAAATTCAGTGCGCATTTTTATCCCTTCAGGAAGCTTGTAATTGACGAGTCTTTGATTCTGTTCAAAGGAAGACTCTCAAGCAGTACATACCAAGCAAGAGGAAATGCTTTGGTATAAAGTTGTTTGTGCTTTGTGATTGTTACAGTGGTCTGGTATTGGATATTATTGTGTACACTGGAAGTTATACATTGCAAAATACCAGGAAGTTATTGGGCATCTCAGGTGATGTGGTTAGAACAATGATAGAACCATACCTTGGTAAGGGGCATATATTATATACAGATAACTGGTACACAAGCCCCTCACTCAGTGATTTTTTGCGAGTGAACATGACAGATGTGTGTGGCACAGTGCATGCAAATCAGAAACATATGCCCAGGTTTGACGCTGGCACTCGTAGAGGTGAGGTGCAGGCGTTTGCTGCCAATGACATCATGGCATTTCGGTGGCATGACAAACGAGATGTCACACTGTTGTCATCAGTTCACCCAAATGAAATGGCAGACAGTGGCAGGCAGCATAGAGAGAGCAATGAACCCATTCTAAAACCTGCAGCTGTGATTGATTACACCTTCAACATGCGTTCAGTGGACAAATGTGACATGCAGATTGGGTTTGCTGATTGTGTTCGCAAGAGTTATAAGTGGTACATCAAACTGTTTTTCCATCTTCTGGACATTTCCATGCTCAATGCTTATAACATGTATAAGATGAGGACCAGAAACAAACCACAGTACGGCGAATTCTGTTTGTCTGTCATCAGACAAATAGTATTCAAGTACCAAGGAACAACTGCAATTGACCGCCCACCAAATTATCAACAACTACCTGCTCGTCTGAAGCATGGTGATCACTTCCTGGTAAAACTGCCTGCTACTGCTTTCAAGAAAAAGGCTCAGAAGAGGTGTTACGTCTGTTCACATACAAAAAAACGCCCACAACAACGCAGAGACACTTGTTTTATGTGTGGAGGAATGTAAAACACCACTGTGCATGACACCATGTTTCAAAGAGTTCCACAGGCTGCAGAACTTCTAGAAACATTCCCTGTGACTGTATATGTGTATATAAAATATAGAAAAATAGTAATAAGCAACATTTCATATCGTTTGTTTGTGTAATATATTTTTGTAAACAAAATAATGACAACAGTGTTTATGCCCTTATTGTGTAGTATTGAAAAAGAAATAACTTACAAAATACTGATCATGTTGGCATCAGAGGCCATAAAAGTTACTCGGAAAAAGAAAAATTGAAAAATAATTGAAAATAGTACATAAAAAAGTAAATAGAAAAATACCGGGTGACGGCAGTCGGCGATGTTACCAGATGTTGTTCAATTTTGGCAAACTTCACGCCTCCATATCTTGGTAAGTATTGACGGTAAAATTTTTTTGTTTAGCCTATAATATTTAGAAAAAAAAACTATTTTTTCATAAGAAAAAATAATTTTTTTTTTTTTTTGAAATTTGGCCGACCCTGAGAACGAGTTTCGGAGAGGGCCTGTCGACCCTCAAAGGGTTAAGGAAATGTGTGCAAAGTGGGTTGAACTGCAAACCTTTACGGATGAAAATCACCCTGACAGCTACTGCAAGCCATGTTGGCAACCTGTACAATGACAATGTTATGGCCCATTTTAGGAAAGTCTTAAAGGAACAGGAGGTACAGAGCTCTATGGACAGATTTTTTTGTGCGACAGAGGTCCAGTGACTCTCAAGCGGGTCCTAGTGGCTTTAAACCCTTCGGGGCCCAAAGGGCCAAAACTGAAGTGTGCCCAGTGTCCAAAATTTTAAAAAAAAAAAAAAAAAAAAAAAAAATTCTTACAGAATTAAAGAGCATTTTTTTGTAAAGGTAATAAACAAAAAAAAAATTCGAGCGTACTTACCGAGATACGTGCCGGAAGTTTGCCCCAAAAATGGCCTGGTGGGGCAACTCGACGATTTCCACATAGCGCATTATTTTATTTGGGATTTTTTGTATTTTTTCTTTTTTTTTCCAAATTTTTTTCTTTTCCCTACTAACTTTTGGGGGCCGGTGCCCAAAATACGGGTATAAGTATATATGAAAACTCCTGTATTGATACAATAACCGACTAAAGTTTTTATCATATTGTTTTTTTACCACTGTTGTTTATTACAATAAAACATGCAAAAATCTTGTATAATATAATGTTCATCAATATTTACATATTTAAATCAGGACATGGTTTTTAGAACTGCGGGAGTTGTGGAACCCCTTGAAACGGGGCCCCAGCACAGAGGCCCTTCTTTCCCCACCTAACCCGATGTCTTTGCGTCTTTTTTTGCCGTCTTTCTGGAAAATTTTCCTCGGGTTAAAGGAAGCG